AGTGAGGTTCTTACCCACGAAAGCTTATGCTCCCAATACTTCTGTTAGTCTTAAAGGTGCCACAGGACCCTCTGTTGCTTTTTACAGATTCAGACTAACACGGCTACCCCTCTGATGCTTAAAAATAAGGCTACAACTTGGAGGAAGAGATTTTTAAATGTATGAAATAAGGTATCTAGCGGAGTAGCTGCTGTCTGTTGGCTTGCAAACTAGTAACATAATGTTAATTGTTTTATATGGAAAAGACTCATTTAACTGTGTTTTCTCCTCCTCCCACACTTCCTTTGGTTGACTTAACCCCTTCCGCCACCTCCCCTTGGATTTTGTTGCTGCCCTATTGTTTAATACTATGAGCCTAAGTCTCTATCAGCCATTTCTAGGTATTCTGCATTTTCTTGTGTATGTGCTTCTTGTGGCTAATGCTTTTCTATCCATGGTGCAGGCAATCAGATGCCACCCCGACCACCTAGTGGCCATTCGGACAGTATCATGCATCCTTCCATGAATCAGTCAAGCATAGTCCAAGATCGAGGTAGGGGTATGAGCGTGTGTGTGGTGTTAAGGGTTCTAAGTTTTAACAGTAGGCTTCTAAATGTAAAGCAGGATATATAAATAATAATAACGATTGCCTGGACTGTGCAAGCTTTGAAACCTGCCTCTTCCACGTGAGGCAGAGATTGTGGGCTAAAATACCCTTTGTAAAGCTGGAGCAGCTCTTTCAACTCAATAAGGGTTCAGAGCACATTGCAATAAGGTTGCCCGTTGCTTGCCCTAGAGATTTTACTTCGATTAAGATGTTCCCTGCAGCTTTTAAAACAAATTTCTGTGAATGCTGCATTTTCAAGAACCATAACCTTAAACTTCAAAGTGTGGGATGTTTACAACAGTTGTGGCTTTGTGCTCCATAAAAAGGAACAGGTTCACTGGAAGATGGATACATGAGTAGGAACTTCTCTCTTGATGGCTGCAGGCATATGTAGTACAATGGTCCCCACTAAAAAAGCAACATTGGCTAGCTCCCTACAAGTGCCATGACCTGCTACAGTTTTTCCCGAGTTAGAGTAGGCAGTAGGTGTGGAATCTTTTGGCACATACGGTTGACTTTTTTTTTTTTTTTTTAAATTGGCAATTGCTTAAAAAAAAAAAAATCTGTCTTGTGTCATCAGAATGTTTGTGTGTGCTCCTGGAGCCCAGGGATGTTTGTGTATGCAGTAGTACCAACAATTTGAATGAATAATTATCTCATTTGAATGTCTCATTGATCAGGTTACATGCAGAGAAATCCTCAGATGCCCCAGTACAGCTCCCCTCAGCCTGGCTCCGCCTTATCTCCACGTCAGTCTTCTGGAGGACAGATGCATGCTGGGATGGGAGCGTATCAGCAGAATTCACTGGGAAGCTATGGTCCCCAGGGGGGTCAGTATGGTCCTCAAGGTAAGGACATGAACCAATTGGATAGAATGGGAAACTGATAGAGCTCTACTAAGTAAACATGTGGGCAGGAAAAATGGCCCATATCCCCTGTAGTCTTTTTTGCCTTTGACAATTTGCATTTATTTAGCCTGGTTTAAAATGTGTGCATCATGCAGCAGCATCTGAAACCCTTTCCTGCCGTGAAAGGGAGCATGCTTTGTGTGTGTTGCTTGGGAACAAGGGTAAGACAGATGGCTTTAAGGATTAAAGTACTTCTGCTACAGAATTCCCCTCCTGGTTTGAAAAAACTTTAGATGATTGTGCCTCCAAACTGCTGCTAATTCAGTTAACTTCAGAGGGGGGAACTTGACAGGAGTTGTATGTCTTATGGCACTTTTAACTGTGACCTTGCCATCTTGTCCTGGGCCGTTTGGCTCATTGTGTTCTGTGATGTGCTCAGGGGAGGTTCATACCGCCTTTGAATTGATGTTGTTGCTTGATTGTGTTTTTAGACTTATTTTATGTGTATTATAACCAGGTAAATTACCTGAGTTGAGGTGCTAAAATTCACCCATGGCCCTGTGCTCTTCTATTAGTGATTTTAAAACAGCTGCAGATTTGAAGACTTCTAATGAGTCACAAATTAAGTAGTTGAATGTGCTCTTTCTCCCCCGTCTTCTCTCTGCAGGAGGTTATCCCAGACAGCCAAACTATAATGCTATGCCTAATGCCAACTACCCCAGCCCAGGAATGGGAAGTATAAACCCAATGGGAGCAGGGAGCCAGATGCATGGTCAGACTGGTGTGCAACCCTATACTGGGCTTCCCCCAGGAAGGATGAGCCATGCAGCCATAGGGAACAGGCCCTATGGACCCAACATGGCAAATATGCCTCCCCAGGTGGGGACAGGGATGTGCCCACCACCAGGTGGCATGAACCGGAAAGCACAAGAAGCAGCTGCTGCTGCCATGCATGCTGCCGCCAACTCCATCCAGAACAGGTAAGTAATGAGGCTGCCCTATGTCTCTTTTCTTGCTTTCAACCCTTTCATATAATATGTCCTAGGACTTCAGACTAGGAGGTGTTTTGAAACGAATCAAAGTTGGGGAAACCCCGAATAAAGGTTTCCTTAAAATGCCTGCAGAAGAGCAGGTCTTCAATCAATCTGGAGAAGTTAGGAGAGGAGAAGTGTATTTGAATCGCTATGCAATTAGCAATGTTTCGGGGCTTCCTTATGTGTACAAAGGAAGTCTGTTGTTCTTTGAGATCCGTGCAGTTTTGGTTTCTGGAGCTGTTGCATAGGTGAGAACAAGATGCAGTGCACCTGGAAGAGCCAGTAAATCTAGCAGGCCATGATTCCAACTGTATTTGTCTGGTTTTTTTTGAGTCGAGGAGTTTAGACTTAAGTTGTGTCCAGTGCAGTTCACCTTTTCCTGTTGGGGTCTTGATGAGCAGCAGACCTGAGGGGAGATATCTGGAATTCATTATTGGAGTCTGCAGGAAAGAGTAGGATGGCTGTAAAATCAGGTGGCGGTTGCATACAGAGGTCAACCAGCGTAGTCATGAGAGCAATGAATTCACACACAAGTTGAGTTGCCTCTGCAGAGTAGAAGTTTGCTGGTTTTTCTTGCGTATCAATGAGATCTGAACACACATTCCAGTCTCCCATTTCTGTTTATGACAAGGCCTATCACCTGATTGTACGGCTGTTGGATGAATAGTCCCCAACCACAGATGTAAAGATAGAGATGCCTCTTCTATTGGAATGTGAGTTTGAGTTGGTATTTAGGTGTGGTGCTTTTGGGTATACTGTATAGCAAAAAAGGAGAAAGAGCAGTGGTTACAGTAGACTGGAGCAGTGTACTTTCTGCTTAGACATCAGGAGCAGCAGCACTTACAGTGAGTGACATTCCAGATCTGAGAGTTCCATCTCCTTTGGCAGGTAACTTAACACCTGCAACAGAGTGCAACAGAGCAAGATTAGGGGTAAAACTTTCAAAAGCGTTGAAGTTCCATTTTCAAAATTGGTTGAGGTCTTTTGGAGCTTAAGTCCCATTCTCTTTCAGTGAGACCTAAGACTATGTCTACACTGCCGCAGTGCGGGCTCTGGGGATGTGTTGTGCTCTTATGAGTGCACAGGGATAATTATACCCGTGGCTGACCCAGGTCAGCTGACTTGGGTTCACAGGACTCGGGTTCTGGGGCTGAAAAATTGTTTGTTTGGGCTTGAATTGGCGCCTGAGCTCTGGGACTCTGCGCGGGGGGAGGATCCTAGAGCTCGGGCTCCAGCCTGAGCCCAAACATATACACAGCGATTTTTAGCCCCACCCGCCCAGCCCAGCAGCAGCCATGCCATGTGTCTTTTACTACTGTGTAGATGTACCCAAATTGCCCTGTGTGGACGCTCCTGGTGCCAACTAAAAGGAATTTACTTTGCGTTAACATAGTCCCATTTGAAAGAGGACTACTAGTTTTGTCCCAGCAGTGTCTACACGGAGCAGTTAGAGTGCAGCACTTCAGTGTACTCTGCAGTTCACACCCTGGTAGTGTCCAGGTTGTGGCGTAGTGTAGACAAGCACTCTGGCTTCAGAATCCCTTAGGTGCTCTTGTAGACTTCATCCTAGGTCAGTTTTGGTGGAAAAGTGTTCTCATGGAACCAATCACTTCCATTTCATGTTTCAACCACAGGAAAGCCTCTGTTAGCAAAGCCCGCTCTAGCAGAATACAAATCTTAATGCTTGATATTGAAAATGTACTTCTGCTCTCTCCCTGTCCGGTTTTCAGGCCTCCTGGCTATCCCAACATGAACCAAGGGGGGATGATGGGAACTGGAGCTCCTTATGGACAAGGAATTAACAGTATGGCTGGCATGATAAACCCCCAGGGTCCTCCATATCCTATGAGTGGGAATATGGCCAACAACTCGGCAGGTAAGCCAGTACTAACCCCAAGGAGGGCATTGGATTTCATGATACTGAATTGAAATGCAGTGTTTGAAGATTCTGTTTAATCTTCTAGGGATGGCAGCAAGTCCTGAGATGATGGGCCTTGGGGATGTAAAATTAACGCCTGCAACTAAAATGAACAATAAGGCAGATGGGACGCCAAAAACAGAATCCAAATCAAAGGTAAAGCATGTGTATTTCCTGTTACCTTCCCAGGTGATAGGAAATGTGAGAATATGACCTTCATGCACTCGTTTTAATTGATCGTGTGTTCAAAACCTCCATTTAATAATGTAACTCTGTTTACTGCCTGAGTATTTTCAGACTGTATTTAAATTTAAATGATCCCTGAAAGCTTGCTAGTACACCTTTCTCCGCCACCCTCCATCAGTAAACTTATCCTTGTAATCTGTTACGTGCTGCTTCTGCACCACTGGGTCAAATACGGCTAGTGAGGTGAATGTCCTTTTTGTGTGCAGTACGTTGGATCATAATTTAAACAATTACATCTGAGATTTTGGTGTAGAATGCTTTGGGAAAGGCTCTGATTGTGTGTGCAACATACTCTCCCTTTATTATTGTATATTAATATTATAGTAGTGCTTAAAGACACTAGTCGGAATCAGGGTCCCATTGCATGGGCATTGTACAAACACATAGATGACATGGTCTCTGCCCCAAGAAGATTACTTTATTTTACCCTTTCCCTCAAAATTATCTGTTGTACGGCTGCCGCTTTCTCCCCTTGGTTCTGTAGAGCAGTTACTTAAGAAATGAGAGAGAATCTGTTTTCTTGCAAATAGGGTTAGAGTTTTGCAGTGTAGATCCCCCTCCCCAAAGAGATGATCTAAACCAACATAGCCATGTCAGATAGCCTCCGATCTTGGAAACGCAGGAGGAGGAGGAGGAAAGTGTTGAGAAACAACATTTACAAAGGGCAGAACAACTTGTTCCTGCTGCAGTCTCCTAATTCTCTTCTTAGCGTCCTCTTCAGCTGATGACTTCAAGGCATTCTAGGGCCGCCTCAAGCGCATGGCAGAGACTTTAGATGTACCTCTGGAAATGGTGCAGGTTCCCAGACTGCTGGACATCTTGCACCCATCCATGCCTGGTAGGCTCTCCATGCCTATAAAGGAGCGACTGTTGGAACATGCGAAAAACCTGTGGCCCACACCAGCATCCGTTTTGGCTACATCCACACTTAGTCACTTCCAAGTGATTTTTGAATACCTTTGTTCCCATCCAGTACCAGGTTTGCTTGTAGTAGCTGCGGTCCAAGAGATATTGAAGCAATAGGGACCTCCCAAATCCACACCTAGGGAGAAAGGTCCAGTCTGAGTCTGTTCAGATGCAAAATTTTCATCTACCAGCCCCCACATGCTCCAAATGCTTCTGTCTAATACCGTTATTTCAGTTGGAACCGGCTGTCTGTTTTTGAATGTGCTACTTCCAGAAACACCGAGAGGAGCTAAAGAGCATGTCTGAAGGACAGCTGATAGCCCGCACATCCTTACAGGCTGCACTGGATGTGTCCTGTGCAGCAGCACGTTCTGTGACTACATTGATGGGTGTGAGATGATTATCCTGGCTCTAGCCTGGGGCGGTCCAAACAGCAACTGAGGATCCTCCCTTTAAGGGCAACAAGTGTTTTAGTTCAAAGACAGATTCCATTCCTTAAAGGACTCCAGGGTGACGCTACCCTCCCTGGGCCTCTGTGTTCCACCCACAAGAAGGAAGCAGTGAAACCACAGATTTCTTTCAGGCAGCATTCTTCTGGCCCCTCCTATTACCAGCCTTCAAAGGACATCAGAGCTGCTGATAAAGAAGCAGAGGTTCCAGCGCTGATCCTCTGCCTTTTCCTTTGCTGCTGCAGTCTGTTGTCCACCAATCGGTGGACCAAGAGCTGGCAGAACCTCAAAGGATCTCTGTACTTTGACCCGTCCCTACCTTTGGCAACTGCCTTTTTTGAGGAAGCCTGGATTCCGATCAGCTTGGATCAGTGGATCCTAGAAATTAACAAGGGGTATTCTGTCCAGTCACTTTCTGGCCCTACCCTCTTTCCCCATCCTTTTGCAGGGCTCCTTCTCATGTGGTACTGTTAAACCAAGAAGTGGACTTCCTTCTGCCACGTGGAGCAATGCAAGAATTCAGAATTCAGGAGCAGGGTTTTTTATTCCAACTATTTTGCCATCCCTAAGAGGAAAGGAGGTTGGTGTCCTATTTTTGGACTCTTGATGCCTCACTTTCTTATCCAGGGCCATACTGTATTTTTCCATGCTGCAGCAGTAAGGTTCCTTGAGGGCCTTATTTGTGTTTGTCCCCAGATTGGGGATCTCCGTTATTAGCACAGTTGATGAATCCCACTTTGAGCCCTTAGCAACTTGTTCTCTTCACCACTTATCTAGGAAGACTGCCTTTTTTTAGTGGCCATTACATCAACTCGACGGGCAGAGGAGATTCAGGCCCTCACGGCAGGGACCATTGTATACAGTGGGTTTTTTTGCCCTTGCAGAGAGGGTTAGGCAATATCCTCCAAGAGCTTATCTGAGAGAGTCTCCAAGTGTATAAAGACACGTTAAGAGTTAGCCAGATTAGGTCCACCTAGCCACATTAGAGCTCTCACAGCCTCTGCTGCCTGTTTGAAGACTGTCCCAATTTATGAAATCTTTAAGACAGCTACATGGAGCTTGGTCCATGCATTTACAAGACACTACTCTTTTTGGCAGAGGCTTCCAGATGGGATAGCTGCTTTGGTCCTGTAATCATTGTTTAGGTAGGACAGCTACTACCCATCTCCAAACAGACAGCTAACTGCTTGTTAGTCACCGAACACTTGACAAGATAGCAATGAATAGTCATGGTGTCTCTTGCAGGTGGCTTGTGTTCTCCTGGCATCTCTGATTAGCCTTATGCCAGAAAACCCTACAATTCCATGGGCAAAAGGTTTGATGGGATGATGGAAATGGGATGATGCAAGTCCTCTTACTTGCCTTGTGCACAAAATGCTTGGCTACCTTTGTCACCTGTCTCAATCTGACTCCACCCAGGTGTGTCTAGCTTATGCCGACTTAATCAAAGGTAAAACACTGTCTTTGCAGCTCTTTGTCGGACTCCCATAAGGATTGATACTTGGGGGGAAAAAAACCCAAAACATTAAAAAGCCCTTTGTGTTGTGGGACTTTACCATGGTGTTGTCAAAGCTGATGAACACTCCTTATGAACCATGTGAGCTTAAATTTCTTTCATGAAAGGTTATTTTACTGGTGGCAGTGACTTCTACCACCAAGTGCTCTAGAGACTGTCCCTGTAAAATCTGGTATAAGGTGGATCAAAGTGGTGCTGCAGACTCATCCCAGATTGCTTCTAAGTGGTGTTTTGGAGTTCCATCTTAATGAACGTATTGCCCTATCACCATTTTCTTCACATCGGCATACCCATCCCAGAGAGGCACATTTCCATATATGCCACCTCAAATGGTCCAGGGTGGGATGTCTCAGGCTCTACCTGGAGCAGGCTAGCGCCCCTAAAATAAAAATCCACCCAATTCGGTTTCTTTTGACATCAGTTTGCTAGGCAACGTTGTGACCAATGGGGCCACGTCTACATGGATACCTGATTGCTCTTATGATCTGGCTGGCCTGAAACTAGAAGACTTTATAAAAGCTCCTTTGATCCAAGACAAGGTTGTCACCACAGTCTGCCTCAAATATTTAATTGTTGACCTCTGTAGAGTAGCTACACAGTCCTCATTCTGCAGACTTGCACGTTATTGTTTGGATTCCGCCTCCAGAATAGAGCTCCCGTCTGGGAGATTCTACCCCGGACTCTGTTTCCAAGATAGGAGAGGCCAATCTCCCTTCCTTCCACTTACCTCCAATACAGTCTTTAATTCAGGATACCCCTTATTTTCAGTTGGCTAATTATTTTTACATCAGGAAGTTTTAATTGTCTCCTTCTGCAAACTTGAAGGTTGTTCGGTGTAGTATTTTTTAAGAGACGTCTTCCTTTTATATTTGTGAGTAAAAAGCAGCAAATGAAGAGAGAAATTTCCAACATATTTGGCATTAGTGGCATTGTTGCAACTTGTGGCAAATTCTGCAGATTGAATCATTAGGGAGGGAAGAGAATCTCTTGTAGGATTCCCCACCCATCCACTTCCTATCAGCATTTGGTGGTTTAACTGAAAACCTTACACCTAGTATTATTTTTCTTTGGGGCATATTTTTGATCCTTGATACATTTGTAGTAATGTATCCTGGGAAATTCCACTAGAGTAATTAGAAAACGGATTGACTGAAAAGTTTGGAGGGTGGTGTTTATTGTTGGCAGGGTCTGATGGCTAGCAGGGAGTCTGGCTTTCCCTTATCCCTGTTAGTGCTGTCCTTAAGGATCAGAAAACCTTAAGAGCTAAGGGAGTTCCCCATTTCTTGTGCTAAGGAACAAAACCACCACCACCACACCACCCCTTACTAATAATAAGAATATTCTACAAGGTCTCTTCAGAGAAGCAAAATTACAGGTAAGTCAGTCTCTTGTTCAGAAAAAAGATTGTATCCCCTTGTCCATCCCTCTTCCACTCACCACAGAAACCATTCTGGTGTCTGGAGGAAACTTACCTAGCTTCTTCAGCCTTCCTATGGGTGGACTAACTTCATCTTTTGAAGTGTGGTCATTGTGATTATCAGCAGTGTTGTCAACAAAAGCTCTATGTCAACTCTCTGTCTACACCAACCTCATACTGAGACGTGTGCATTTCACCTTTGGGCTGATGTATGGCTGCTCCTAATACAACTGCAGAATTTTATCCCTTCAAGTTTTTTTCTACTTTATAAGATGATGAACCTGGCCTGAATTTGATGTTTAAATTTCTTGGCTCGTTTGCTCCTCCATTTTGAGATCTGCTTTCTCCTTATTCTAGAAATCCAGTTCCTCTACTACCACCAATGAGAAGATTACCAAATTGTATGAGCTGGGTGGTGAACCGGAGAGGAAGATTTGGGTAGATCGCTACCTAGCCTTCACTGAAGAGAAGGCAATGGGCATGACCAACCTCCCAGCTGTGGGCAGGAAACCCCTAGACCTTTACCGGCTCTATATCTCTGTAAAGGAGATTGGAGGACTGACTCAGGTGGGTTTTCCAGAAGCTGTGAAAGCCATCATGACTGACTCAAGTGAGATGGCTATACGTTCGTATGCATAACAGCATCTGTCTCAAAATCTCAAGTGTTGTATAGGCAACAGGATTCAAGCTTAACTCGATTTGCTAATTGAGTAGTTCTGATTTAAATTGAGTCTGGAACTTTTAAAATAGCGTTAATATCTTATTTATAAAATCCAATATCTTTGAATTAAGTGGATCTAATCGCAATGCTCAAGGTAGTTGCTCCTGTTCCGAGTATTCTGACAGCACTGAGATCCAGCTCGTGCTTTTCCTCACCCAGTCCATAGAACAGCAATGATGCATGTGGGCTGCCTGCTGGCCTCCTCTCTACTTCAGTTTGCTTCTTGGTATTATCCATCTCTGAGACTCTTTTTCCCCCCCAGGTGGGCGAAGGGGAGGCTTACTGTTTTGGTTTTGATCCACAGTTTCAGCCCAACTCTGTAGCTGTTATGATTGCTACATGTTTAGCTAGTATCTAGATGGGAAATATGGCTCTGTCTCACCCTGGGGCGGGGGCCTCCTAGAAAGGGGAAATGGCTTGAATTTTATCTTCTGACCCCCTTTTTTGGTTGTGTAGGTCAACAAAAACAAGAAATGGCGTGAGTTAGCGACCAATCTTAATGTGGGCACCTCTAGCAGCGCAGCTAGTTCTTTGAAGAAGCAGTACATCCAATGTCTCTATGCCTTTGAGTGCAAGATTGAACGAGGCGAAGACCCACCCCCAGACATCTTTGCAGCTGCTGATTCAAAGAAGTCCCAGCCCAAGATACAGCCCCCATCTCCAGGTGAGTATAAAGACTACAGACAAGATCCCATATATTCTGCAGCAAGTTGGATTTAAATTCCTCTCCAAGGTCACCCACATTCCTACTGTAAAATGGAAATTCTCATGACAATATCAGATGCATTCAAATTAAGGCTTTTAATGAGCTCCACGTGTAAGTGAATAGAACAGTGAGTAAAGTATTCCTTGTAGTGTATGTATCTTCTTCGAGTGCTCATCCCTATGGGTGTTCATGGTGGGTGCAAATGTTGTCTGTGTGCCCGAGACCAGAACTCCTTCAGTAGGAGTGTCCGTCGGTCTGCATCTACCTCATGCTGAGAATGAGGGGCATATGGGGTGTGGCAGGCTGATGGCCTCTCCAGTTACTTTTCTGCTGCTTGCTGACTGGGAGGGAACCCTCATGTGTCTGTAGCCTTCTAGTGTCATCTGCCCTTTCTTTTTACTAGTTAATACAGCGTTTCTCAAACTGGGGTCCACAGACCCCTGGGGGCTTGCAAGGGTACTCCAGAGGGTGCGTGGACTCTGCTGATCAACTCCTCGCCTTCCTCCCAGGGAGGCTCCGTGTGCTGCCCCACCAGAGTGCTGACACCGCAGCTCCCATTGGCAGAGAACCACAACCAATGGGAGCTGCAGGGGCGGCGCCCTGTGGGCACGAGGGCAGCGCACAGCGCCTCCCTGGCTTTCCATGGGGCCGCAGGGACCTGGTGGCCACTTCCTTGGAGCCGTGGTAAGCGCTGCCGGGACCCTGAACCCCTTCCCACACCCCAACCCCCTGTCCCAGCCCAGAGTCCCCCCCCCGCCCCCGACCACCAA